GTGTGTGTGTGTGTGTGTGTGTGTGTGTGTGTGTGTGTGTGTGTGTGAGAGAGAGAGAGCAAGTGCATGTGAACACACCACAGGATGTTAGCTTAGCCACTCAGCACTGTTCCTGCACAGCCGACACATTTATTACGACCCTGGGCTTCATTCAAAATGTCTAAAAATGTCCTTTTCCCAAAACTCATGTTCACAGTCGACTCAGATTTTTAACTTTTTAACACTATGGACTGTTTCTTGATGATCTCCAGAAGAGAAAGACATTAATGTATCTCATTTGAATGATGTTAATTGTTGCATTACACGAGGTGTGTTTGATTTGTCTTCTGTTTCTGTAACATTAACGTTAAATATTGAGCCGTTAGAGTGCTCGGGTGGAGTTAAGTCAAAAGCGATGGGAGGTTTCCACTTAATGATGCACCCTCCACCACCCACCACCATCACCCCTGTGACAACCACAACACGTCTCTGCATCTCTGTTTAGTTCTAAAAACAAAATTGTGTGTGTGTGTGTGCAGTAACTCTAATGTTATGTTCACACTATAAGCGACACAACAACAGGCTGCAAGTGATGGAGCTACAAACTGACGGCTCACACTTGCATGTCGTGCTTCAGAGGGTCGTGACGCGCTGCAAACCGAAGCTGAGCTGGTCTCAACTTTTCACAGCGCTCCAATCAGGCGGCGACGCGTCGACCAATCGTATGTTTTTGTTTCACCCTGTTTCATCTTTTTTTTTTTAAACGCTGTTAGCCTGTTCTCAGTGCTACTGAACGACCTAAATATGTAAACGAGGGCTTCAGCAACACTGAAACGGCGACTCAGCGTCAATATAGCCGGCCACGTTTAGACGTTTTGTCGCTCTCAGTGTGAACAGCGCATAATGAGGTGGAGGAGCAAGAGGAGGCTCAGTAGCAGGATGAAGACGCCTTTTTATGGCCGTTTATAAACTGAAACATATGTGAGCATCATTGTGTGTGTGTGTGTGTGTGTGTGTGTGTGTGTGTGTGTGTGTGTGTGTGTGTGTGTGTGTGTGTGTGTGTGTTTTAACAGTGTCACTTCAAAGGATCCTCACCCTTTTCTCCCCCTCTGTTTTTTCTCTCTGTCCATCAAAGGAGGCATTGTGCATGCTAAGCTAATATTAGGCTGAATGTGTGTGCTCGAGACAGAGAAGGAGAGAAGTCTTGTAGTGCGTATTACATTTCAACATGCAGGCCAGTTTCCATCGGCGGAAGTTGATGTTTTTTTTTCTGCAATCACTGCGAGCTGCTTCCGTCTCATGAGCACATCTTGCACCAACTGACAGTCGCTTCATAAATGGACTCAGTTTGCAGTTTCTAGTCATCGGTGTAAGAACAGTGGACTATTGTAAAGTGTAAAAATGACAACTGTCAGCCACTCGAAACCAAGCCGGGGTTTTCCGTTACAGTCACCTCTTCTGCTGGTCTGCAGTGGTTTCACTGTCATTTCATCACTGCTGCAGGAAACAAGTCGATGTGCTACATAGAGCAAATCTGTGAAAGCCACCGTGACTTTAAATACATTTCATCATGCACTAAAGTAAGTACCGTCGGCACAAAGTGGTGGAGGTACATTTCCCTGCCACAGAGGGTTCAGTCGTGGAGGAGGTCAAACAGAAACATCTGCAGTTGTCAGCACAGTGGAAACGTGCACATGTGCACATGGCTTTAAATCTTTAAATCTGCCAGCGTGGCTTCAGCAGCCAGCCTTTGTGCAGACGTTTCTGTTGTGAGTGACGTTTTCCTGTTCTGCTAAAGTTTTCCTTTTGCCAAAAAACCTCACCGAACCGAGGTTGATTAATTTATCTTTAACTGAAATATGACTTCAGTTATTGTTGGATTGTATCGTAGTGATTCTCATTACTTCAGTTATATTTGCTGGTTCACAAATGCAAATCATTGCAGACTTTTCTCTGCTTTGCGTCATAAATTGAATGCTTTGGGCTGTTGGTCACACTAAGTAACCAAACCTGAGGCTCTGTTGACTTGTGATGCATTTAATTTAAAATATGTTAAAAGTGTATCTCTGCTCCCTCCGACAAAATCATGACTGTCGGACTTTCTGGAATTGAATATTAGTATACAAATGGTTTCTATCGATGCCTGCTCCGCATAAAGCTCTGACATGTTTCCTGAGAAATTCTACCCTCAAATGTTAAACAATCAATAGAAATTCAACCTTACATCCTGAACAGTATGCATATGTTTGATTGATTACAATATGCAATGTTAATATACACATTCCCAGCCTCCATGAAAAGTGAAGCATGTTTAAGCTCTAACACCGAGGCCTTCTGTGCATGCTGTCCTGGTTATTGGCCCTCACTCAGTGTTGAAGCTTATTTCCCGTGGCTTCCTTCCATCATGGACCATATTGGGAAATTATTGACTTATTAAGGATAAATGTAAACGGCTTATCTGCCATAAGACCTTATTGAACTGGGCCATGAATTATTATTATGTAGGACATTCTGTATTAGAGTTAGCTTAGTGTGTTTATATTGTCATCAAAACGGCATCACATAGGCGGTTTGTAAATACACATGTATGTATGTATGTATGTATGTATGTGTATGTGTTTATATATGATGACATGCTGGAAATAAGAATGCTAATGTTTACCATCTTTGATAAAGAGATGAAGTCAGGGGATCACCACCAGCATTAGGATTCATCCTCTGGGGGCGATGAACATCTCTATGAATTTGCATGTTGGTTGAACTATTTGCAAGAAAATGGTATTTTACAATAGTTAGCCCTGTTTTTCTACAAGTATTCGAACTAACTTCAGTTGCTATGTGGTTATATTTTCAATGTAATCATTTGACTTGGGGCACCGCTCTTAAATTTTCATGTTCCTCATTCTAATTCTTTTAGTAAATTAGTTTTTAGTATCATACTTTAGGTAGTTTGAGTACAAAGGTTTCATGTCCAGTTGGGGTTTTTCAGAAATGTAAAGAACCGGGTTGGATTTGGAAGTTCAGGCCTGAGTCAACATCTCACTCGTTGGTGATCATGCAAGAACTTCTGTTGTTTTGATGCAGCGTACACTTCGGAGTTCAGCAGAAGAGGTGCAGAGAAAGACAAGACGGGGACACACGGGAAAAAGACAAAATCTCAACGTCAGTTTTCGGTTTGAGACGTCGAAGGTGACAAACCACGCAGGAACAATTGAGATTAGATGATAACAAAAGTTCAGTGGGTGAAGCTGGCAGAGAAAAGACGGCTGACAGGGAGTGATGCAATAGATGAATAGAGCGAGTATAAGGAGGAAGGAAGAGAGAGAGTGGTGCTAAACAAATGCAGTGTGAGGGAGAACGATGGTGCGATGCACGGTTGAGAGAAAGAAAGAGACAGGGTGGATGAGAACGTCAAAATAATGCAGAGCTTAGATGTAGAGGTATCATCATCCTGGCAGCCGGATGGCTGCGGTGCTGGAGCCGCGTGGTGACTTCCTGTTTGTCAGCAGCATACAGGAAGTAGGAGGCCCCTAGAGCATCGTGTGTGTGTGTGTGTGTGTGTGTGTGTGTGTGTGACTTAATATGAAGTGAGAGGCCGAGCTGTGTGAGGGGAAACGAGCAGATTTCGCTGTGAATTTAAATGTGTGTAATGTGCTTCATATATGGTTCATGGCGTTTAACCTGACCTAACCTTTAGGATCCTAGTGCAGCTGGTTCTTGTCACTACAAGGAACTTTTAACTGGTTAAGAAACCATTTCAGTAAAACACTGATGCCTGTATATGACCTCAGAAGTAAACAAGACTACCAGCAAGAAGATCGGCTATTTCTATCCTAGCAAAATTAGACCAAACGATTTTCGGCACGCAGTGCTCACCAGACACTGCGACCTGCAGTCGGTCTCTGCGGGTCGGACTGTCAGACCCTCTGCAGTAGAATGAGGGGTTTTCTAAAGGAAGTCTGGTGCTCTGAAACACTACTGCTTTAGTCCACAGGGACTCGTAGTGCCTTTAAGTTGATGTTGTAGAACTGATTTAATGAGCCTGTTGTTGATGCTCATGTCCTTTCCAACTAGAGAATGACGATCGTTAGGTTGATCACAAATATCACGAAACGAATTTGGCCTAAACATCATTTATGCATGCAAAAAAGAAAAGTTTTACTAAAATGGGTGATAGAGAAGTACCTAAATATCTACGCTTTATTCTTGTGTTTTGTGTGTACCAGGCTGTGCAGTTCAGATGGGGAAGTGCTATATCTGACACTTCTGATGTCAGTTATGGAGTTCAGCTGACTGTTCAACTTGTAAATAGATTCTTTTTTTGGGGGCTGATATATGCAGTTTGTGTTTCTGGGCATTGACACAGAACAGCAATGCAGCATCTTTCTCGCTCTGCACATTACACCAATGCATTGTGTGATAGTTGGTAATAAAAGGGTATCTGTCCTGAACTGTACATATATAGTGTGGTTTTTATAGGGAACTTGCAAGTTCCTGTCAGATGAAACATTTATTCAAAGTGTGTCGTTGTCTGTGAGCTCATTACCAGCTGTTGGAGTGATTACATTGCTGTTCATCAGATATTCTTAGCATTTTAATCATTTCTGTTCAGGCTACGTCTACTGTATCTGTACCGTCAGTCCCTCCAGGAAGTCACTTTATCGTGAACACACCCTGCAATAGTTGCAGGAATTTAAAATTGATTCAAATTTATTCCCCGGAATACCTCCTTGAAAAATGATCGAAATTGAAGAATGCTCTGCCTATTTTATCAACGACCGACCATTGATGCATACAAATAATCAATTTCAGAACCACAAAGTCAAGCCACAATTCCAACAGAGGAAAAGGGGCATACCGTCTCTTGACACTCTCCAATACATTTTCTCAAGGGTTGTTTTGAACGCCTCACCACTTGACGCCATCTTGGCTCTTACAGGAGCTAGAAAGTTCTGATTTGTTGAACAGGATGAAACCTGAGTGGAGCTGAGGTGTTGTGAGCAAGCGGCCACCACCATAGCAGAGTGTGATGGGCTGAGATCCCGTCAATCTAGAAAGAACAAAACATCTATATTCAGCCAAGGAATTCTGAAACATGTCACTGAGACACGTTTAAGGAAGTGAAATGAAATATTGTGACCACTACTTCCTGTGGACAAATTGTATTGACTTTGTTTACACAGAGAGAGGTTCATGGTTTTCTCAGTCGCTTCAACACAATAAAATGTTTCTCGCAACCTTTGAAGGCTTTACCGCTCATATTTAGGGACATTGACTAAATACAGTTTCACACTAAATAGCATGAGAACCACGAGGTTTTGTTTGAGAAGCTTTTTGTTGTGTGTGTGTGTGTGTGTGTGTGTGTGTGTGTGTGTGTGTGTGTGT